TACTAGAAAAGTTTATCACTCTGTAGCAATAAATGATAATCTTCTGCAAAGAAAGAGTGCAGACTGCAACTCTTGAAGATCCTGTGGACAGCAAACGGATGACATTGTTCAAACTGTAGGGGTGGAATACCAGCTTTCTCTGCCGCAGCTTCTTCTATACAAAGAAAAGAATGGCAGGTGAACTGTAAATTAAGCAATTGTCATCTCTGAGGGTAACAACAAACATGAATGACAATGGAATTAAAAAGCCTACAACCCTTCCTCAGTCAGAGAATTCATGAGGAAATACTTACGAAAAAGAAATAATCTATAGAAAATGAATGACACGATATTAAATCAACATGCAAAAAAAGAAATTAGAAAGAAGAATGACAGTTTGGTGCTACATGGCCCTTCATTTCCAACATATATAACATATATTAAGAGAGAAGTCAATAAAATCATCATAATTATTTATTTTTCTCATTTTGCATCTAATCAAATTGTAGGATGTTTCTGTAACTGATGTTATCATGAAGGAATAGCATGGCACAAGAAATATATGTCAATAAGGTACTTCATCCAACCAGGATGAAACCATTCTCTTATAACCTATCTAAGCACCAAAAAGAAAAAAAATTCCTTTCCCCTTGAGAAAAATGTCAGGATTAAGTACAGCTCATGCCAACTTCTATCTTGAGAAAGAAGTTATGCGAAAAAGGACAGGAAATGGCTGCAGCTTCTTGTCATATCAGCTGGTGGCACTGGCCAGCAAGGGAGAGCAATACCGGCAAACATGCATCAACAAGTCTCCAGGTAAACCCAATAATCAAGACTACATCTGTTTTCCCCAGGCCAAAGCTCCCAAGGGACAACACAGCAGCGAAAGGGAAGTCTTCCCATTGAAAGTTAAATGGCCAAAGTTGGAGAATTTGCATACTACAGTTAATTTAGTTCAGCGTACCCAGCCACATAAGGCTTTTCCTACACAAAGAACTACTTTAAATAATTATTCACTGTGTAAACCAGTCTCTTTCTCAAGCCACTCAACCTAGCTACATTCCCAAATGTCATATCAGTGTGAAGTGTGAGATTGAAGCTGCACAGCAATTGCAACCCTCACAAGAAAAGGAAACAATTTCTTTTGTACTTCTGTACATTAGGGTATAGCAAATCTTGTGTAACAGGAATAATGTTCATGGCATTGGCATATACTAAATAAACGGCTTTTGCAGTTGCTGAATACCTCCACTTCACTTTGGCATTTAATCAGCCACAAAAGCAGTTTATTGCGCAGTATACTCTGCTACCATGAACATTATCAATTCGGCAAATATTAAAAAATATCATGCAGGTGTCACAGAAATGGGTACTTTAAAAATTATCGACAGCTTTACACTTTCTGTTGCACAAAAGAAAGCAAGCTAAATGTTATGGAGAAATATCAGTCCATTCTGACTAAAATTAAATGTTAAAGGAGCACATACACATCGGAAGTGTTTATGCCAAGAGTGACCTGCTGTGCTGGTATTTTTCTCCTTGCAGAGTGAAAGCTTTGGTCTGTGAGAATGAGCTGTATACTCAAGTGAGTACTATCCTGGAGCACTTTGAATTCTCCACGTCCTCAAATCATTTATATTGATTCTATGACTAAATAAAGGAATGGAAATATGTTTCTTTTTTTTTGCAAATTCTCTCTGTTTTCAGTAGGAGTAAATATTTGCGCTCATGGTTAGGCATTGGTTGCACTGACAGCTGAAAGCCTCTATTGATTTGCAACCATGGCTTGGTAAAGGAGCCTCTCGCTAATCTTTCCCACAGTGCCCTTCCAATACTTGCCGCTCTAACCTGGGAGGACAGCTCTCTCTAGGGCAAGAGGTAATTAAAATCTCTGTCCCTAAGAGATGGCTTCTTTTCCATTCTCTGCTTAAGAGTTACCATCATAGACACTGAGTAAGATGAGAGCATTGTACAGCACAAGCAGATTCCACAAATTTGATTTGAACACTACATAAGTGATATATGCACTGCAGGTGTGGTGGGCTTGATCTGCTCAGGAGGCAAAGTACGCCTTTCTGGGACTCTCGTCAGAGTTTAAAGGCACCAATGTAAAGCAATCCCAAACCATCCATCCTATTTCCACACAGGAAAACTTTTCAACCACTAAGTGGCAATCCTTGCACAATACTTCACAGTTGTTCTGCCTGTGCAACTAGCATACTTCTGGGGTGAAGGGACACAAGGCATTTGCAGAGCAGCTATTCGATCTACACCCTAGTTTGAAAGAGCAGGGCAAAAAACCCAAATGTTTTTAAAAAAGGTGATACTTTGTTCTTCCTGTATTCTCCTAGAACAGAACAGTCACATGGGCCACTAGACAGCCTCGGGGCCATGGCACAGCCCACTGGGTGGTCTCAGAGTCTTACTACTCTGATGTGAACTTGCCATAAAATTGAAGAGAAGGAAACACCACCACCACTAGAGAGCTAATCCATTTCGCAGACCTGTAAGAAGACTAAAATAAGATGAAATCCCAGTCACTTCCTCTGGTGCTCACACCTGCAAACAAGCAGCAGGCGAGAAAACCACTGGGTGCAGCAAGCCTTGTCCATAACCTCTTCAGTTATGAAGTGCAATGAGCTCTTCTGCACCTATAACTTTATTTCAATTTTTTGATGATATAATAAATAATAATTAAAAAAGAATTATAAAAGTTAAAAAAAAAAAAATCTCTTGCTGTCCTGGTCAAGTAAGAGAAATTTTAAGATTTTTAAGAAGTCTTAGAATCTTAGAAATCAGAAGCGAAGTAATGTCTCAGCCACGGAATACCCTCTGCACAGCAACTGTAACAGGTATTCCCAACTCTCCCCCAATTATGATGACTATGAAATTAAACAACACTAAGTAAAATAGAATACTAGATAAATTAGAAGAATTTATGTCTCTATCAGCAAAGGATACCAATACTCTGTACACCGAGAGAGAGAATTTTTCCTGAAGGACAGATACTCAGAAGAGAGTATATTTGGAAAGACATAAGTCACTTTTCTCAATTAAATGTTGCCACCTTTAATTATTTTGAACATTTAAACCTAAATATTTAAAATCAAGAAAAACAAACAGTAAAACTGAGTCATGGAAATAACATTCAGGCTTCAGCATCTTTGACAGAAATTAGTATTAACAGACCAAACAAATATGTGTCTCCAGGTGGGATAAACAAGCCTGAGACTTCAAGAGCAGCAGTGACACAAAATATGACCACCACTCATACAGAAGGTCATACAATGTAGACATTAAAGGGCTTTAAAGAGCTTTGAATGTTAATGATTGACTGGGGAAGAAGAAGGAAAAAAAAAAGCATTTGAACTCTCTGGCAAGAAAGAAAAAGAAATTTAAAAAGCATTGTTATATTGAAATTAAATTATTACAGAATGAAGACTGCACTGCCTGATTTCAGGTTTCAGAAGAAATAAATGATCAAGCTGACTTTCAGTATTGGTAGATTACTTAATCTTGGAGCTGAGCAAAAGACAATAAAATTACAACTGAGCACACACCTCTGATCTCAAGAAAAGACATCCAGTAAAGAATGACAAGACCTCTGATAACTCACAGGCTTTTAAAATTAGGATTGGGTGTTGACTGCACTTGGAGAAAGAAAAAATATGGGTAAAATATAGAATTATTATGCCCTTATCACATTAACTGAAGCATTAAAGGTTGCAGTGACTTCTTCTTTGTGCTCAGAGTTGAAGCCAATGTGTAAAAGCTCATGCAATAAAACGTGGACATGTGTGTAAGCATGCCATTGAACTAGGGCTACTGTTTACTCAGCATTGATGCTTCTGGTAAACCCATGAAAAATGCTTTACTATAAATTGTGGTGGGTATTAAGATATATCTACAGAAGCACAAAGGGCAGAGTCCTGGAAGTAGATCGCCCAAATCTTCAATAAGCAGTCTGGCAATTCATCACAATTACTAGTGGTCAATCATTATTAATTCTTACGGTAACCGTTGTACTCATGCTGAACTCATTTGCTGTTAACGTGGAGGTAACATGCAATTCCTTAGACATTAAAACATAATTTTAAAAGCTCAGGATTTTTTTGTCTAATGGTGAATAGCTTTTTTCATAGCTTAAAATTATGTGTGAATAAAGCAAAAAAATCAGCAGTGATTTACTGCTTAAATTTATACCCTCAAACTATTTAGACTGCATTGGTAACACCACTCTGTTTACCTTTTGAAAATACAATGTATACTAAAAATAATAAATCTAACAGATGAACTTCAATCTTATGCAAATGTCCTTTGTTTTGTGCTCTGGTGAGCAAGCTACTGTACCAATACTTTTGGCATTAGTACAAGACTGAATCCATGGAAGCATGTGTGTATTTACACAAAAGAGGCTTCTAAGCTACAAAAATCCCTCTTGTTTGGTTACACTAATTTCCCTTGAATGAAGTTTGTATGCAAGCCAAAACAATGGTAGTTATCCTGTCCTCTAGAGTTCATTCCCAACAGAACGATGTGAATAATTGAAAACTTCCTAGGTAGTCCTGTAAGACTCTTCTTTCGTAAATCAGGAGAACCACAATGCTGGTTTTTTCTTCATTAGCTATTTTTAAAAAATCTGATAATTATATACAAGATTTAATTACATTAAAAAATCTTTTTACTTCTTAGCATTTTAATGAAGTCTTGAAATTTTGGAGAAGGTAGTAGGTCATTTTCTGATCTGATTAGGGAGTTAAAAGTAAGCATTCAAGTTTAATATTCAAAATACGTCAGGTGTATACGGAAGAAAATGAACAGGAGTATAATGCCAGAGGCTGGTGTAAAGGGAAAAAATGGAGAAGAATGTAATACTTTTGAGCCAAAGGACAGACACTAATTATTCAACTACCCCTGCAGCAATGAAATCTGTTGGCTCAGCCAGTAGATGTCTCTCTTAAATACACAGTTGCTACACAGAAAACATGTTAAAGCCATGAGGCAATGAGAATTATTCCTACCTTAACTGAATGCGGTCCCAACGCTTCTGCACCAGGTGGCTGAACACCAGCAGGTCTTGATGGTCTAGTGGTAACTTCTGACCACGCACTGCTGTTCTCGCCTCCGTGAAGAGTGCTCATCAGCATTCTGTACTCAAATTTCTGCCAAGGGCTCAGAGCAGTACTCTGGTCAATGTAGCTCATGGACTGACTGAAAGGGAGAGTCACCACAGTTGATATTTGTTCTGTTCCTTTCACCCTCCTTTCTATCGTAACGTTTTCCACCAAACCATTCGGGTGAGCAGGTGGTTGCCAGGATATGACCACAGAAGTTGGAGTATCAGAAAAGAGCTCGGGAGCAGGAATATCCTCAGGTGCATCTGGAAGAGTCCATATTGCTGGGGTCTCGGGTGAAAGAGAACATCCTTTAGAAGTGCATCCTTCTACCTGAAACACGTAGACTGTATAAGGATGCAAGTCTTGTACAGTGCAATTGGATCTAGTTCCTAGCACCGTAGCATGCAGTTGACCATTTTGGTAAATATTATAATGAGTGATAATGCCATTTTGCTTTAAAGGATGCTGCCAAGAGATGCTTGCTGCCCTTGCTGTAACATTCAATAGAAGTGGTGGATCTAAAGGTCCGGGTTCTGTAACAGAAAAAAAAAAAAAGGAAAGGAAAATTACTAATAGTCTGTGACTTGTAAAAGTCAGCATTAGCAAGCAGTACTCTTCAAATGAGTCTCAAAATGACAAAAGAAGTTCAAATCTACCAAAGAGCCTATTTCTTCAGAAACTGTAGGCCCAGCTATTCAAGTGATGAATATGGCTCTCTTCTCAAAGGCAAGCTGCTCTGTAAGCACACCTTCTTCCTCTCAACTTTCCTCCCTCCTTCTCTGCATCTTTTTTCCTCCTGTGCCTCTCCTATCTGTTAGGGTGTGGAGCAAGTGTACAGCTATAGCAATATAGAACTGCAGTTCTAGCTTTTGTTGATATTTTTCTAGAGCGCTAGCTACTAATTGCAGCCAACAGCACAGGCATAACAAAGCTGCATATTTTACAGCTCAGTAAGACCCTACTGCATCTCTCATTATATATTCAATATTTTACTTCATTCTGTTTATAATTCTAATCCATTTTTTGCAATTTATCTACTCCCTGTTAATATTATAGGTGATTTTTTACTGCGACTGTGACAGAAGCTGCCGATTTAGCTCTTTCACCTACTGATAAATAAACAATGCACAGATCTGACCTTTAGGTTAACAGGTTTTATGCTTGCTCCACTCAGCACTCTAACTGATTCAATTATCATAAAGGTTCAGGAGCTTCCATGAATACTGAAAAAGACCGACCATATGCCTGCATAGGTGTTGTGGAACAGCAAATACTCTGCAGCCCTCCAGAGAAATTCCTTAATTGTAAATAATTTCACCATGCGACACAATCAAGTCACCTTGAATGCAAAACCCTCAGCCTGTGGAGGCAAAGTGTTATTTAAGCTTTACTGGGCTGCGTTAAATTCTGCAATTTGAAGGGCTGTTAAGTTTTTCAATTGAAATTTCATTTAAAATGCAGGTGCTTTTTATTATATTGAGGCTTTACTGCTCTCTAGGTACAAGCAAGAACATGGTGCAATAACACAAATCTGGCTCAATCACTGATCAGTAACAGCTGTAATTCCAGAACATTTAGCATTCTTATAAACCACATCCTGAAATCTATAAATCGCTACAGCAGATCAAGAAAATACTATATTCCCCCCTATTCTGCCCATAGCAATTTTGACATTTATGAGATTTTTCTGTGAACATTACATTTTATTGAAATCTTAAAAAAAGATATACTTGGATTTAGTAATTGTTTAAAATAGCTTTACGTTTGGGGATTTGGGGGGGGTCTAAGTTTCAAATGCTAAGGGTTGAAAATTTAAAATTCATTAGTGATTGTGGGTGTGCTAAGACTCCAGGACACACAACATAGCATATGCTGAATTCCACAGTAGTCAACAACACCATAATTTAATTCCTAGTGAAGCAGTATGCTGTCCAAACCACAAGGAACAGTATTTCTATAGGAAGAATAATTTACTTCACTAGAAGTTAAATAATCCCTGCTAATTTTTAAGTTAAAAGAGAAAGAGAGAGTGAGGAAAAAAAAGGAACGCTAGAAAACAAATAAATCCAGCAAAATGAGTGGCTCCTTCTATATTTTAGAATAACAGCTGAAGCAGTCAGAAGTCTCCATTCTCCTGTTACATACCGAGAGAGGTATATCAGGATTATTTCACTGATGTCTGTGGAAACCGTGATGTAAAATTGGGATAGCAAACTTTTTCTTTTTCTTTTTTTTTTTTGCTTTTAAATTTGAAAAAGTAACAGTGTTTTTTCTTTCATTATATGATGCCCCACAAAGCAACTCCATAAAACTCATCCATATCACATATCCTGTTCTACTCACAGTGATAATAAGGATGGAGTCCTATATTTAATGCTTGTGCACTCTAGGTTTAATTTAGATCTCTGAATTTACAAGTATAAAAGATGTTGTAAAGAGCAATTCAATTCTATTTGCATGTACTCTTGGGCAAAATCTGTTAGGTCATAAGCTGGAACAAAATTTGGTCCATTATTTAGACTTCACTGAAAGATGGAAAGGTGGAGGTTTACACCTGAATTAGATGTATATTCCGTAAACTGAAAATTTTGCTGGGGTGAAGGGGAAAGAGGAAAATTTGCTTTGGAATTGAAGACCTTGAAAATAAGTTGCTGCAAATTCTAGTTTAATGGAGGAGGGGAGTTGAAAGATATAATATTTACCACCGAGCTACAAACTTGCATTTTATCTAATTATACCTCATAAATAAGCTATCATACTGTAAGCTTCTGCAGGAGGAAAACAAAACAAAACAAAAAAACCCCACAACAATCAAGCAGTTTGTTGTGAGGGAAGAGATAAGCCCTTTTATTCCTACTGAACACTGGCATTACAGGTGAAACATTCACGGTAATTAGTTGAACCTCTGCTTCAACCCCCCCAGAGTTAAGACTATTTTTTAAGGACAATCTGTGATGTATGGGAGGAGCTGTCAAACGTAAACTTTGGGTCCCCCTAGTCCTTCCCCCTCCCCTCAAAAAAGCATATTTTGGTAGCTAGCATACCTACCCACACATTCCCTACTGCCCTTTTAAAAGAGAGACTTTTAAGACTCTCTGAGTTCAAACAAGACGTTTGAGAGATGCTTAATTGGCCCCACTGGATGGGAAAGCATTAAATCCTGGTCCCCAACACTCATTCGGTGTAGCTTCTTTTTAAATGGCAAGCAGAATCATCTAATTCTATATACAAATCAACTAGCACGATACTGCTTGGTTGAAAGGGTCACCACAATTATGTAAAACATGAGTATTAACTATAATTGGGATAGTTTGCTAATACAATAAAAAGCTCTGCACATGAGAAAAGTTATGCTCATAGCAGTAGCTATCACTTTCTAAAGTAAGAATTCATGGATGAAATGACATGAAAAAGATGGTTATAAAATTTTAATGGAATGATAAAAGGCAAAAGTCAGCCTCTCAGCTGAATTCTTAAAATCCCTATATATCACAATCAGCTCCTTAACTGTAAAATCAATGTGGAGTATAACATGTTGTCAATGTGGTTGTCACTGGAGGGAAGACTGCAAAGTGTGACAGCTACACAGCTCAGCCTGACAATGATGAAAATAAAATCATAAAGCTTTTTACACGGATGTAATTGTTTATAGAAGTAACTACTGAACATGGGAACAGTGGGCATCTTTTTCCTTAAGATTCCTAGTTCATATTTCAAACCATTTCATTACAGTATTAATACTAGAAGGTAGTTTCATTTTGGCAAATGAAATTATCTTTTATGGCAGGCTATTTTGCTCATCTGCTTCAAAAGTTCAGACTCGACTTAAAATGAAGGCACAAAACTGTCATTCATCTTTTTTAATTCCCTGACTAGAACCACACGTTTGTTTACTTATTGTACAGACTGGGAGAGCTGTGAGCTATACTCTCATGGATGTATTTCAGGGGAATCTATACTTTCATTAATATACGGAGACATGTACCTGGACTACTGCCCTTTAAAGCTAATGAGAAATATCTGATTTGCTGGGAAACTCTCTCACTGAACAGAATAGAAATGCTGTGCCTTTTATTCTTGAATCATTTACTCTTTTCAGGAACATGGACAATGAAAGTATACATATTAACAAAATGTGATGTCTTTCATATACTACCAATTGTATCCAGCGGAAAATCTAAATTGTGTAGCTCTGGGCACAAGAGACCACAGGAATCTTTTTTCACATCAGATCACAGAACTCAAAAGTCGTTAAGCTGTTCATGCAATGACATGCAGTCCATATGAACCCCTTCAAATATGTATTAAGAACCGTCTTCAGAGTATTCAGACTTTTTGCCTTCTATTGCTCCAAACTCACATTGGTTCCAGAACCTCAGCCTACTAGTTAAGAAACAACTTCTAATTCCTAATCTATAGGCATGCATGGGCAGTTTGTACTATTTATCATACGATTATCACATCACAACTGCCACGATACTACTTCAGCTTAATTTGTTCTTCCGTCCTTTTGCTATTCACCCTGTCATGTATTTCACATGACAGTCTCTCCCCTTTATCACCTCACCAGGTTTTGTCTTCTCTTGCGTCAGCTTCCATTTATCTTTCTTGAGCACAGGTGACCACATCCACATCAACTAACTATAGATTAGTTTATATGCCTAAGTTATATGAACCTAACTTACATAGGTAAAGTAGGAGACTTGTCTTCTCAGACAATGAATATAATCAGCAGAGAAAGCAAGAGCTTCCAAAAGCTGAGAACTGCATCATCTACCCTCTTGTCCTGCATTGCCTCTCTCTATTGTCTATATAAGGAAGCTTTAAGAGAATAGGCCTCCTCATCCTAGAACCAAAGCTTTATGGTAAGCATGCCAGAGGAGCACATCACAGCACTCTATATGATAGGAATAACGCTTCCCTGTTTTGTCAAGAAATAGCTCAGCTGATACACTGCAGGAGCTCTCTTTTTTTTTCTTAATTGATTTTTTTTTTCCTAGCAACTTCCATACGTAATGATCTTAAGTGACTACTGTGTACTTTTGACATTACTTATTGTGAATAAACATTGGACTGGCCTATAACTTCTTTATACATAAAAGAGATGGACTTGCAGTCACATGCAAGAACTAAAAAATAAAAAATTGGATTGCCTGATAGACAACTCGCAAAACCTTCTCTCTCAACTAGTGCAAGCCAGGCACTTATAAAAGGGCTTCAGTAAGAGCTCTCCATACTGGAACCATACACTGACCCCGGGACTGAAATGCAGCCAATATAGAGAACATGCTGCTGACTGGGATGTCGTGCTGTACACAACTCATTGGACTTCAGACAGTTTCTGGGACATTCAAAAGAAAAGAAAGGAACAGGCAGGTTTTCTCTAAAGCAGCAATTTTGCTAGCTTAAAACTTGTCCAAATCAAGATGGATTTTCTCAAGCACTAGAAAAAGCACCATTCTCATTTGGGAACTAGCCCTCTGATCAAAGATTACACCGTGTGCATTGCTACCAGACAATATAATTTTGCGAATCATAAAGCTACACCATAAGAATGTAGCAGCTGCTTTTGGGCCAGCTTCAGGTAACTATAACCCACTCCTTTACAGCTTCCTTCTCAGATAGCTCAAAGACTTGCCATAACAAAAGGGAAAACTTAACTGATATCTTCTTTTTAATATCTAGATAATTTCATTTTATTTCTGGATGCAATGCATGAAATTCTGCTCTCAGTTCAATGGTACGTACTGACCTCTCAGTTCAGTGGTGATTACATTGATTGCAAGAGAGTTATCTTAAATTTACATTCAAGTTACTGAAAGCAAGATCTAATCCAGAAGCTTCATCAACTGTTTCTATTTGTCTGGCAGTAAATAGTCTGATGCTATACTGACCAAGATCACTGGAACAAACATTTTTTATTAACACATGTTTAGTAGGTTTTAAAATATTCGTAGGATATGTACATTATTGTTATCTGGCATGGGCAGGTTAGACTTTAAAAAATGCATGGAATCAGTTACTAGTGCCATGCTTATGTAAATGGAAGTATTTGAAAATTATTTACAGCATTTTTTCTTGCATTAAAAAATACTAATCTGTATATTAAGACATTTTATTATCAGATACAACAGATTTTTATGGCAGCATTTGCTAATTGTTCCTTAATTGTTCCTAATATCCTCCTAGTTTACTAAATATTTATCATAAATAAAATATAATATGCAGATATATTGTGAAATCATCAGCTTGTATTAGTAGAACTCTATTGACTTTAAAAGTGGATATGTTGATTTACATCTATTACTATCAGGTGTATGTGCACAGAAACACACACACATGGATATATTTAATTCCTACAGATATTTTATGCTTTGGTGAAACAAAAAAGACATATTCGGTGCATAAAATTCAATAAGAACATGTGTACGCACATATATTTCAACAGAGTAAGAGATATGGGAAATTTCTACTGTCAAATTGTACTTTAAAAAGTCAAAGTCTACTGGTTAGCAGGGCCAGGAATTAAGTGTACTTCAGCAACAAGCTGTCATATAGGCAGTTTTATAAGAAACATATTGAAACCTTGACAGAAATACTGCTTATACCCAACGACAATCATTCAGTCTTAAGCAATTGAGTTGAATATCCTTTCACAGATGGCAGCCCTCCACAATGACACCAAAACCAGAGTCCTTTGTCACCACTGAAAGTTGGGGGGTTTTTTTGTAAATGACAAAGGTTGTTGGATACTGGGGACACATCAGCATGTATTCTTTAGCAGTATCAATGCAAACAGAAGAGGACATTTTAAAGAAAATAATTTTCCCCTTGGAGACATGGAGTTTATAATGGAACTACAGAAGTTTGTTTTAAGTAAGGAACAAGATGCAGCATCACAGCTGAAGAGGCAAGTTGTTTGTTAATCTCAAAATATTTTAATTGTGTAAACACTGGCAGAGGCATTATACTTTTTTTTTCTCGTTCCCAAGTTTCCTTTGGCAACATCTACCTTCCGTACTAACTTAAGGCATTTTTGCAGTCAGGTTTTGCAGAAGGTAGCATTTCATGCTAGTGCACAAAGACCATCCAAGTTCTATGCAGAAAGTAATTTCTACATACACGTTCAAGAAGACTATTTAGGAATGCATGTCCTGTGTAGGCCTTCTGCCCTATCCCTAACTCCCAAAAAGAGAATTTTAAAATTCTACACCTACTAACAAGTGATGCCTTTTAAATGCACTTCTGTGCTCCTCCTATCTAAAAAGAAACAACGCTATGTGAACTATCTGACCAGAGCTAAATAATCATTGCAATTTGAACGAAATAGTTATAGGAGACTGGCTGCATTTAGACCACGAATGTAGACAAGTTTAGAATCATAGAATCATAGAATCATTAAGGTTGGAAAAGACCTCTAAGATCATCGAGTCCAACCGTCAACCCAACACCACCATGCCCACTAAACCATGTCCCTAAGCACCTCATCTACACGTCTTTTAAATACTTCCAGGGATGTGACTCCACCACTTCCCTGGGCAGCCTGTTCCAAGGCCTGACCATTCTTTCAGTGAAGAAGTTTTTCCTAATGTCCAGTCTAAACCTCCCTTGGCGCAACTTGAGGCCATTTCCTCTCGTCCTATCGCTTGTTACTTGGGAGAAGAGACCAACCCCCACCTCGCTACAACCTCCTTCCAGGTAGTTGTAGAGCGCGATGAGGTCTCCCCTCAGCCTCCTCTTCTCCAGGCTGAACAGTCCCAGTTCTCTCAGCCGCTCCTCATAAGACTTGTTCTCTAGACCCTTCACCAGCTTCGATGCCCTTCTCTGGACACGCTCCAGCACCTCAGTGTCCTTCTTGTAGTGAGGGGCCCAAAACTGCACACAGTATTCGAGGTGCGGCCTCACCAGGGCCGAGTACAGGGGCACGATCACCTCCCTACTCCCGCTGGCCACACTATTTCTGATACAGGCTAGGATGCCATTGGTTTAATAATATTGTATCCACTTTTGGTAACAAACAATTACAATAAAGGAATTGAATCTCAACGAAGATTTTCACAGGTAGATAACACATCTCCAGTATGTAAATGCCAACTTCAGAACTTACTTTTGTTAGGTGATTACTTACAGGTGATGTGTTCATAGAAGCATTTATACCTTTGGAGCTTAAATGGATTTATCAGATATATTTCTGTTATGAATTATTTGCTCATCTTCAAAGAAAAATATTTTACAGTTGTGAGAACACGTTTTTTCCGGGTGTTTTCTCAAGATAGACAGCTATCTATTTAGAGAAGGGACTAAAATGAAGTTGAGTCACCAGCACTGAACATTTGCTATAACAATTGCATATGAGCATCAGGTTAAATTTATGGCCTGAAATGCAGATCTCATGTCAGTGTAAAATAGAGTAAGACCAGAAGGCACTTTGGTGTGAAGGTAGAAAAAGCAACATAGTAATGAAACCAGTAATGAAACACCCCCCACGCCCCATGCCTTTTCCTGCTCAGAATGACTTACTTTCTTATTAAACAAGATATAACAGGAAAAATCTCTTTAGAAAATACTTGATTTCTCTAAAATTTGGTACAATGGGGTCATCCATTACTGATTAAAAAAAAGAAGCAAAGAATATATTTGAAAACAACAGATTTTTCTAAAAAGTGTGCTATTAGATATCCTGATACATTGTAAAAGAAAACTTTAATAAAAATAGCTTTTTTCTTAGAAAAAGCTGGTAATTATGTATTTTGTATATGTATTATGTACAACGCGCTCAAGTTTTGTCACATGTTTCTGCTTACATATTGTATCAGGTGCAAAATCCTACCCTGCCAACTAAATGGCTGTAGCTGTGTGCTGACACCTGTTTGCTAAATCAAGGGACTGTTGAACAAATTATGTGGAGTGAGTCTGCAGAACGTAGAACTATTAATAAGGAAAGTGATGGGACTGGCAATGACAAACTCAATTTCAGACCAGTAGATCACTGCTTTGAATTAACAAATATCACTGGGAATGAAAAGTTCTGTTCAGCTGTGGTACAGCTTAGGTATTCTCAACACAGAGATAAGACAACTGTCATATACTATTAACCTCAACTTATTTTCTCTGATATGACTGAAATCAGAATGAAGTCCCTGAATATAAAGAAATACCACTTATAAAGCTGTACTTACCAGTGTATCTTTAACTATATATGAACACATACGAATGGAGGAATATTATATAAAGAAATAAGATACTACTTCACAAAACATATATTTAAATATTCATATTTTATGAAAATCTAAGACAACAGATACTTGATCCCTCAGGAGTTATTATTGCAAGTTAATATTCAGAAAGGAAATACGTTATTGCTATATAACTGAGAAAGCTAGATAACCAAAAGAAATTATGTGCAATGGCAGCTGAACTCTTATTTATATTTTCTGCTAAAGGGAGTTAAATAAGATCAGACTGCTTACTGTCCTCTGCTGTAGTCATTGAAGTCCAATTGCTATAAGCATGGCCATAACCATTGGAGGCAACCACTCTCATCTCATATTCAGTGTATGGCTGAAGATCTCCGACCCTGTGTTGTAAGGAAGCAGTAGGGCTGGAAAGCAAACTGCAAAGAAAAGCAGCATGAGTTAAATCATTAAACATCCCAGCACCTAAAAAAAGAGTAAAACATTACAGTCTTGTAACAAAACCAGCCACCCTAAAGGTGAGCCATATTCAAGATAATGGGACTTTTCTTGCTCAGCAGTTGATGGTGGCCTTGCTATGCTCTGCGTACTCTAAAATGTCACCAGCAGAATGCCTCCGCCGCATCTGGAGTCGATAGCTGGGCGCGCCTGGGGCGTTGTTGCGAACTGGTGTAGACCAGACAACCTGAAGACTGGTCGGAGTGGCAGATGAAAGCCTTGGAGGCATCACGCCATCTGGAGCTGTCGAAAAACATGGATGAATTAGAGCAGAGAAAACCATGGAGAACATATGCCGGGTGGAAACAAAATGCTCCATATACTGGAAAAACTGTTCCTCAGGATCAACAGCGATGTTAACATGGTCCATTTAGTTTAACATTTTCGCTACTGAACAATGCTATTTCTTTATTTTCTTCTTTCCAATATAGTTACATGAATATCGCTTTGCTAAAAGCAAACCTCCAAACACCAGAAGTAATTCAGAAGCAACATATTCTCTACCACCTGTTCAAATATTATCTACTTCTCCTTGTGCCCAGCTCTGCCACCCTGAGAAGTTAAAGAAATGCTGACAGAAATGTTACCCAGCAAGAGTAAAATTGATCAGACTTTTTATCATTCAGATACCTTCTCACCCTTATAAATTAATAATAATTTTAAAAGAAAACAGCAGAAATTTTAAGAGAAAAGAGGTCTTTAGGTAGAAATCAAAATAGATTCACTGAAGTCTCAGTCTCTAGCCCACTGTTTTGTTAAGGAAATTAATTTTTATGAAGTCCAGGAACTGCAGATCAAAATCTGTCAGTAATGATACCAGCAATGACCTTTAACTGCTGCAAATTTCACTGCATGCCGTAAAAAGAACTATGCCAATTTGCACCCGTGAGTTTATGGCTTTGTTTTTTCTTTAAGAAGAAAACAATCTGCTGAAAAAACTTTCTGCATATAAACACATCTGGAACTTTTATATATAATGCATGTCTGTAGCCCTAGCTCTGTAGCTCTTTTACAGAGAGTTAAAACATTGCAAAGTTACTGCCTTTGTCATTTAAACTCTTGTATAATAGTTTCGCTTTTCATGGTCCAGTAGTTACCATTTGCTTCTTTCTTTGGTCTTTCCAACAGAAATTTTTTGTTGCCATTATTTTCTTCCTTCTCTCTATTGGAAAAACCAGTCTCACAGATCTGTAACTTAAGGTGTACTTGTAAGTCTCAGGGCATAAGTTGTAAGATGAGTGAACAGTGTTTTACAGTAAGTTTTATGATTTTCATTTACCACCTGTATATGAGGTGGTTACCAAGAGGAAAGTAACAGACTTTGTGATACACTGTCTGAATCATTCTCTCTTTGAAACAGATGAAAGAATGGCATTGGCTCAGAAAATAAAAGTCATCGGTCATATACAATAGCTTTTTATTTATACTGACATATATATACAGCGATATGTGAACTAGCACCTGGCTTGTTTACTCTGATTATACATACTTATGACAGGGAAACTTCAAAATTCTTCCGCTTCAGCTCCATCTCCAAATTGTATTATGTAGAAAGGCGCAAGACATGGCTTGCTACAATCTAGAGACTTGTTCCCTTTCCCTCAAGTTCAAGGTCTGCCAGTTCTCATAAGAACAGCTGGCTGCTGGGGTACTTGAGTTATTACCAGGTATTTTACTTCTGAGAATTGGCCCCTAGCCTTGCAACCCTCCTGTTTTTTTCAGGACAAAATGAAGTGGAACAGGATCTCCAGCTTCCCTCACTCCCTTCCCCTCCTCTCTGTTACCGTTAAAAAGACAACATAAAATTTTTGGGCTTGAGCCAGCCTGGCTGCCTTTGGATGCTCCCTCCTGCTGCTGCTATCTAGACCTAGGTAACAAGGCTCCAGTAAATCCCAAGTCAACTTGAAATCTTCCTGTTTCCAAATCCAGGAGATGTCTGAGGCTAAGGTAATTCATGGTCTGCAAATCCCTTGCCAACACCTTCAAGGCCAATCAAGAGCTTGTGAGCACCTCAACTCAGAGGGAAGAAGATGGCTGATTTAACTTGAACAGCCCCCAACATCCCTCTAGCTGAGCCATCAAAAACAAACATCTGCACACCAAATGCCTCTGTGTGTGAATTAAATTTCACTCTCAGAGTAAAATGGAGAACATATATTTACCTCACTTAACATTGTTCTGTTTAGCAGCAACGTAACTAACGTTGGAGTTAAGTTGTGCAATAAGGGGGTTTAAATCTTATGGATGTAAAGTACAGCACTCGCAGATAATCATGAATTATTTTGGCATCCCTTTATAAAGTGATTCCTGAAGTTGTTAGCAGGCAAACTCAACCAGCATGAGGAAGATGGCACAAATAATGTAAAAACTTGTATTAGAGGGTTTTAAAGTGTTTTCAGAAGCTGACACTAACAGAAAGACTCAATATCCCTTCAAAGGAGGGTACTACCTCATTTAGAACTGAACTGTTTGTAGCTTAAAATGCACCAGTTGTTTAAGTGCACATAGAAATTCTACACAGCAAAAAAAGCTACATCTAAAAATGAATCTAGTTAGCTGAGCTGTAATTTGGCCAGGAAGCCAAAGTCCACATTGTTATTGAGGAGACAGTGTGAGCAACTCACTAAGGAGGCAAAAGCGTTAAATTTATTTCCAGTTCTGTCAGGACACATCACTTCACCTTTGCCTTTCATTTCTCAATCTGTTAAATGGAGATAATAATACTTATCCTACTTTGTAAAGCTCTCTGAGATCTACAAAGCAAAAGCTCCGATTAAGCTTTATGTATGTATAGTGGTGGTTATTATAGCGATACAGGAATGTTCATCAAAAAACAAAGATGTAGCTGTCTAAATGTCAATAACAATTCACTGTGCGGATGTTATTTTAATGGCGTAGGTAATCTCAGCTAAATGTTCAAATCTCTTCTACCAACAAAAGCACAGCATAGGGAAGAGTAGAAAATTTGGACAAATCTCTCCTGTGAAAGTCGACTGACCTGTATAACAAGCCTAGCCGACTACTTTCAAACCAACTTGTTAGAAGATACAGCAAATTTATTTAATCTGAAAGACTTCCTGTAGCTCGCAGAGAACGTTCTCAGCTGTGCACTAGTGAGTGTCCTCAACTAAGCGCTTCCAAACGAACGGGGCAGGGGGGCAGGAGGGTACAACAAAGAAATTGTCAAGTCTCTGCTGAGTCATAATGAGAAAGGTGGTCTATTAAACTAATCACGCTTTGATCATTAAAACTACAGAGCACTTCCCCCCAAAAATGGTAATTCTAAATTGCACACAAAACATCCTTTGACTATTTCAAAAAATCCTCATCACCAAGGTCTTCAGTGTAACATTTCCCTCAGCTTAACCCTTTTTATCCAATCCATATTCCCGAGAGACTCCTTACTACCCAAGTAATAACTGGCAACCAGCAATAATTCTACTGTGAATTTCTCAACAGAAGAGCCATGTATCTATCAGCTTGATATATCGTCTTTAAGATGCAATGTTGCTCAAAAAGCTCCCCTCAAGCTTTAATATGACCCTCAGGGGGCAACCACTCCACTTGCTACCTACTGAATCAACATCTAGCCCAGTAAATCCCCACTTAGCAGGGCAGAAAGTCACGCTTTGTGTATGAAGAGACTACAAAGGCAGAATAAAATCATAGAATCAGAAGTCACTTTTAATCAAAGAATTAATAAAAAGCCACACAAAATAATAAAAACTGAAGACTGTTTCAAGCTGACAATGATGTATTGTATTCCAGATACTTAGGTACTTGCAGATGAGTCAAGAAAGATCTGATCCCTGCTGGCCACTAATGTGCTAAGCAGTCTTTGAAAAGTGTTTCAACTTCTTGCCTCAATTTCCTTATCTTAAACAACATATGCAGTAGCAGTCAGCTTTGTAAGTATTTGTTTATTTTAGGACAGCAAGCTTTGTGGTAAATGATTGTGTTAAATGTTTACTCCATGTTGAAAGCCTATTTTCCTGAGAGGTATTCATTATATTTATCATAAGGATATACCTGAAATTTAAATTTTCTGAAAGTAGAAGACTCTATGTAGGATTACTAAAAGTAAACTATCATTAGGACTATTATTTAGTTATAAAAACATCTGCACTATTAATCTTTAATAAGAGGAAGAAAAGCCAGTAGAGCTCAATTTGATATCAAATTGGTGTAAACTCACACCAACTTTGAAGTGAAGTGACACCACTTTTAACAGTGATCAGGTATATTGGCCCTGCTGTATCCATAATAATAAAACTCTGCAGATAGGCAGCTAGAAGAGTTTGGAGCTATGCAAATGTAACTCTACAATTTGCCACATCTGCATGTGTAAATTATTTAGCACAGATGATGCATTTGCATCTTATCAAAATATTTTTCATACACATATATGCAAATGATAACTGCAGGTATTTAACTACAGAGAAGGAAAATAGGCTCTCCACAGTTTGTGCCATAACAGCAAGGAAAAGTTTCAGTCAGACTGCCTTTAGATGAATGTCTCGCTCAGTCATGCCTACTCTCACTCTTTTCCAGGTTCAATTCACAAACCCCATTTCTTTATCTCATTGCAGTTGTTGTTTAGATACTCCTGATTCATTTTCTATTTTAGATGCCCGTACTGAGATCATCTCATTATGGCACTTTTTATGGCAATATGTTCTGCACATTGACATTGGTTTCTCCTGATTTTCCCAGGTATGCCTGTTATCTCGTTGTTTGCTCAGTCCAAATAATTCCAGTCATTGCACTCTCCATAATTCTCAACATGGCCATGTGTTTTTGTTTCATTTAACCGAAAGACAGGACATGATGCTGGGCCATATGTCATCACTAGAAGGGCATGCTAGTTATAAACCTTTATCTACTGGCAAAGCAGAAGATTGCTTTTTTTGTTTCTTATCTTCACAGGTTCATTGAGGTTTACTCTGGTTTGCTTTTTAACCCTTTTCCCAGTTATCTTTCCTACTCAGTGTATAGCAAACACACACAGTTGTTCTTGATTTTTCATTTAATATATATGTTCAACCATGTTGTTTTCCACCTACTCAATGCCTAAAGAATGTATAGAGTGTTCTTGGATTTTCTTTTTAATTTTATAATTTCACTGATATATGTTTTCAGTTACAGATATATCTCCATCTAATAATACATATACCAGAGACAACGCACCCCTTATTCCACACACATGCATGCACTTTGGAACATACAGTGTGAAAAGTCCATGG